GGTGTACTGGTTCCACGAGCAGATCCACGTGGAGGAGTATTCGTGGGCATTCAAGAATGGGGATCCCAAGCGGAGGATTGCGGCTCTGGAAATGCTGGGCACGCTCTTCCTCTGTAACCTCACGCACCAAGGCCCTCTGTCCTCCCGGGTCCGACTCCCGGTGGGCAGTGACAATCAGGGCAACGTCATGGCGATGCTCAACTTTGGATCCAAGAAACCCTACACCGCGGCTATCCTGATGGAGCTGGTCTTCCTGCTCCACACCCATGGCTGCTCGCTGGCGGCCAACCACGTGCCCCGGGAATTCAACCAGTGGGCCGATGAGCTGACGCACCCAGATTTCTCGGGGTTCGACCCTTTGCACAGAGTTCCTAAACAGGAACTCTGCGAGGAGTTCATTTTTCTCCCGCGTCTCCTGAATGGAGATGCATTTGATCTTAGCGTGGGCCCACCCATGCTCCCGTGACCGGAGCCGGTGGGTGACTCACTTCCCCTGGTGGCAGACCCCCCTGTGGCCTGGGTGCCCCTGGCCCCGGCCCAGGGGCGGGCGCTATCAGTCTGCACACCCGTTCTTCAGTTTTTGAGAGTTTGTGGTGGGTGGCCCATGGGGCCCACCCAGCCGTAGACATCTGACAGGGGAAGATGAGTCCCTGGCAGCAACACATTGCTTGGATAAAAGAGTTATCGCTTGCTTGTGTGGTGCCGTTTGGTTAGCTTACATACACAAGGGTAAGTAAGACCTAAGACCTGCTTTCGTCCGCGAATCTTCTTACCACCTTTTGCATTGCAATGCATTCTGAACCATTGAATGCCCTCCTCTAGTGGGGGAAACCCTTTTTGCTCGTTTACCGCATATGAGAGCCCGTTTGTCCCCATGGGCCTGGATATGTGACAAGGGCCAGGGTTGTTCCCTCAGGTCTTTTCAACTAAAACCAATTTGGCAAACAAATGTTTGACCAGTTTTCTTCGCTTTGACTTAAGTTTGAACGCGAAACCTGCCCTCCCAGCTGACGCGGAGCCCACCAGAAGGCTCTTTGAAATGGTTCCATGCTCAGTCAGAATTAAGGGAATCCCTTTCATGTGTAGCTCGGTCAACACTGCTGGTTTTCTATTTCACTTAGGACATCTGGGACTCGCTAATTTCCCCACAAAGAAGACCAGGCGACTCACTCAATTTTCCTAGGTCCTGTACAGAAACAAGTAATTTTAACTGGCGCAAGTGAAAATGGACAGGAATCAGTTGCATGGCTGCAAATCGCTGTGAAATTGTGAATTTATCAGAGACCTCCTTAAAGAGGGCTCTGGCCATAGCGTCCCCAATTTGCCATATAGATTTTCGAGCCTCGCAAAGGCTCCTTTTGAGGGAACCATGACACAATTTCCAAAAAGATTCTCCCCACCCCCACATTTGATTTAGGCAATTCCGAGCCAAATGTCGCGCTCGTCTCGGTGTCAGGCGCAGATCCATCTTTGCGCGCCTCAGGCGCACATGGCACATGGCGGCCTTCCTGACGCCCTATTCAACTCAAGAACCCCCTTGAAACGGGTTGGGAGTATTCCCAACTCGGCGCCTTGGAGCTGCTTCCATGGAGTTCCAGCGGTTTTCGTAACGCCTTTCCCAACATTCGGACGGACATCTACTCATGAGCCAACTCGCACGGGGAGCCAAGGGACCAGGCAAATAATTCACCCGTTCGGGGCTTTTACCACTGGAAGTGTTGTGGTGGTTGTTGTGGGGATATTTGGGCGTATTTTGAGCATGGCTTCGATTCGTTGCTGTGGGGATACATGTCAGTCTCAGCTCGGCCAAGCTGTGACTGGCCCCCAATTCTCATCGACATGGCTACCTGAGGTGGTCATGCGAGTGAAGCCATTGCAGACATGCTCCGCTCGGCGCCTATTGTCACCAATGATCAAGTGGTTGACATCTTGTTGCTGAACAGAGTGCAAGATGAATATCGCACAGTGCAAGAGGAACGTTTCCTTTGGCCACTGGAAGCTCAACATGAATTGAGACATCTTGATGATGTCACAGGCTTGAGCAATGCGGTCACATACTCCATAGACCTTCTTCCTGGACAAGAAATGTTCGATTTGCTGCGTTTCCCGGAAGAAAATCTCCTCATGAGAGACCTGGAGGTGGCGGCCCAAGCCCAGAACCACTTTGCATGCACAGGCAGTCTGGGACCCCATCAGCAGGACACCTGGTGCGTGCCGTTTTGAGAAGGCTCTCAAAAATCACATCCGCTATATTTATGTCAATTCGCAAAACAAACCAGACACGGCTTTCATTGCTAACAAGTGCCACCTGTTCAATCCCAACGGGCGCGTCAATCAGGTTGCCATACCAGGATGGTGTTGCATTTTCTGTGAGGCCCACTTTGGAGACGTTTGTCCTGAGGCTTGGCTTCATATGGGAGCATCACCTTGCGCGTGCATCACATGTCATGCGGCCATTTCCCAAGCTGCACGTGCGGAGATTCGATGTCCCAGCCACGACAAGGCGTGTGGTGGCTATTTCCTGCATGACATGGCTGCTTGCGAACGTACCCACCTTGAAAAGGCGCCTGATGTTGCACAAAAGATGTCTGCAGTGGCGACGCGACGACTTGGCATGAATGTGGGTGATGCAAATCTATATGTCAAGGGCCTGTCGAGAAGTGCAGAGGACAGATGGTCAGACACAGTGAACATTGCCGAGCTAGCCCTTGTTAACAGCGCTTCCATGTTGGAAACGCATGTGTCTGTCATTGAGATGTTGGCAGGAGAGAAGTCGTTGGTTGCATGGAGAGCCTTTTTCAGACTTGCATGTGCCAGTACGCCACGGAAAATGTGCTGCGGGGGAGCACACGCCAGCGACCAAACATTGGTGAGCCGTATTACGAGCCACACATGCTGACTGCAACATTGGAGGTTGAGAGGAAACTTCTTCGGCCCCTCAATCGCTCTAGCCCCAGGCGGGGCAACTGCGCCATTTCTTCACCAGTAATGCTTGCTGGTGGCGGCTTAGCATTTCTGCCACCTGCAGGAAGCTTGCGTCACACTGCTCTTAGCGGTTTGCTACCTGCGCCCGGCACCTTGGCAGTCCACCAAGGAGGCGCTCAGACAGCCAGAATTGACGTGGCTTCTGGGCATGGTCGCGATCTGTTGACCATGGTTGTCGCTCAACCCGCACCGTCTTCTGGCAGCATGGCTTCATAGCGGGCTGATTTCTTGAAGACTGCAGACTGGTATGATGGTGACAGATCAAGCTCGTCCTGCGTGACATGCATTCTAGGGTGTCAGTTGTGGACAAGGCTCCGCCATGGTTCTGCAAGAAAAAACGAGGACTTGAAGGCTCCTGTTGTTTCTCTACACGCAGCTCTGCTCATGCAAGTGCTCAGCTACAGAGACATTGCGCTGTCCGTGATACACCCATCCGAGCGCAATGCGAAGAGCAGATCACACCACAACTTTTCACAATTTGGTTGATGCTTTCGGCGCGGAAGCTCCTTTGCTTGCTGACGTATGTATGTCATCAGTGAATTGCCTTTATGGCAAGAGCTCATTCAAGCCTCGATGGCGGATGAGTGACAAATTCCAGTATCCCATGGCGGCTGCAAGAAGTGCGGCTCGCTTCCACCGGCATTCTGCGCAACTCGTGCAGTCAGCTAGCTGTCACCATAGTGTGTGCTGTGATTGGCAGTCATCTCAGCAGCAACGGCGACAAATTGGAGCGTTCAGAGCTTTCTCTGCTATCAGACGTGGGCGCGGACAACAGAGTGTCTTCACGTTCTCTCTTTGAACAAGCTACGCTTTGCAGTTCGGCTATGGCTGCTGACTGTGGAGAAAAGAATTCAGTGATGTCTAGCACAGCTGCAGTTCGTGCGCCTTGCTTGCAGCAACTCACCGTTGCTGCAGACGCGCTGACTTTCTATTATACTTGCCGAGCAGTGCAATTGCTGGCGCATGACCCATGGAACAAAGGGCCTGCTTATAAGGATGATGCCTCGAGAATCAACACGCGAAGCAAGTTGATCTTGGCATTTGAGCAGTGCCTAGTGTGTCTAGAAGGTTCCATCCAACCAGCCTCCATCGCGATGAAGACGCTGCTGCAAGCAAGACTTGGGAGTCTGGCTACCAGTCAGCGGTTTCAATGTCAAGGAGCATTTAAACCGCAACTTCTTGAGCGAGTTCAACACATGTGACAATATCCTGGCGGCAGGTTTCCGAGCAAATGTGTTTCCTTGGGCCAACGCAGTGCAAGGCAACGCACTTGCCGCTTACGCTAGCTCGCTGGATGACACGACAGCTGTGTTGGGGCGACCCCGACAACACTGTGTTGCAGGAAGCCAAAGTTCGTCAAGCTCCGTGCGTCACTGTTGCCAATTCACCATACAACGATTGCGCGAGACTCGTTGTGGAAACTATGCGTCGCTATGCGGGTCTGCAAAACAGTCCTTTAATTGCGTTTTAACATGAAAGGTGGCGCCCGCCCCAAGATGGTCGGGGTTTCTTGTGGAATACAACCTTGGAATGACTGTTTGCCCTGTATTTTTGGAGAGATAAATGTACAGACATTTGATGCTTGGGGCCCAGGGCAAACGAGAAGTGCATAGAAGGGCTTAGGTTCTGAAGGCCTAAGGAGGAGCAACGCAGAGAAGAGAACCGCTACTGAACCAGGTTCCTGTTTTCTTGGGATTTGTGTTCAACTTGGTCGAGACAAGAAGTGGCTTCCACACAGTCGGATGTGTGTTTAACAGAAATAAGTTGACGCAATGGTGCGCGTGCTACCCCTTCATCCTTTACTGGGATCCTTACTTCAGGTTTTGGAAAGAGTGCAAGACCTGCAGACATCAGTTAGCCCACACAAACGCCAAGTCTCCCAGTTTCTCCCATAACCCAACCTCAAACAACCCCACCCAAACCCACCCGAACCACCCGAACCACCCCACCAAACTTTTGTTTTTTCTCCTTTTTCCAGCCCCGTTTTGCCGCCGAGAGCTTGCCGCCCTGGAAAGGCTGTACCGCCGCTCAGCTCGCGGAGTCCAACCACCACCTACGGCTGGCGCGCTGGGCGGGGCGTGTTTTAAAACGACCCCGTTCTTGGAGTCCCATTTTGACGCATTTGCAAGGGCTCCAAGAGACGAGCGTTGGAGAAGTGAGTGTTGTACTTGAAAAGCACGAGTGATCAAAAGAGAATTAGGTGTGTCCGTTGCTTGCGCGTGTAGCCAAAGATATAGGGAGTTTGTCAAAAAGAGTCCCACTTGGTGTGCGGCCAAGTCAGTCTACACAGTTGCTTAGCTACTTTTATAGCCCTGCCCACCACCAGGGTTGTCTCCACTTGGGCAGAACAAGTGGCGTATAACTCCGTACATAGAACCATCTCTTCACTGTTCTTGGCATGTTTTTTGGTTTTTTAGTTTTTTGGTTCTGTTCATCTTTATTGGGGGTCAGTAAAAAATAAAGTTTTTTGTTATCATACCAAGAGTAGAGATGATCTTACTCTGGAGAGCCTATTGGACATGGGGAAAAAAAGGGCACCTTTTTGTGTTGGTTGATTTTAGCGGGACCCCCTTTTCAGGAAAAAAACACTCGGTAATTGGGTCCTAACTTGGCACACCCACGTAACAGCAGTGGCCATACAACTTGACTACCAACTGCTATCCAAGGGACCGCCATCCAAATGAGTTCCCAAGATACAGACGTGGAATGGAGATAAGATAAGAAGAATATCATTAGCTCTCTCATGTTCACTCGCTCCTTGCCAATCCTAGCAACTATCTTGGGCGTGAATCATTAAAGAGAGAGAGAGAGAGATAGAGAAATAGAGGGATAGAGAAATAGAGAGCTAGAGAGATAGAGAGATAGAGAGATAGAGAGATAGAGAGCTAGGGAGATAGAAGAGAGAGATGGCCCTGTCCACTCTTCGTTCGTCAGCATCTGGATTCTGGATAATAAAACTGACAACCCGGTTTCAGATCATGTGGGAGGTGTTGACAAACATCCTTGGCACCTTGAAATGGAGCGAGAGAGATGCCAACCTTTCACTTCACGGACTGGCTTATGTCTGAAGCGTAGGAGAGCGACAGCTGGGATAATGAGTTACGGTAGTGCTCAAGGGTCGCTGGACAAGTTATGCAGAAGTGTTTTTGGGTTAATGGAGACATGACAAACAACCACCCCCTCCCCCCCCCCCCAGCACCAGAAATCCAGATTTTGGAGGGGCCCCTCGGGCTTCTGCGGTACCTGGCGAGTCCTCTCCGGTCCGAAAATGCCAGTGTCACTCTGTCCCTCACCGGCGAAGTGATTCACTGCCGTTTGGCTGTGGCTCAAAAAGCCGGTACCAAAATGGAACCCTGGTAAGTGGACACATGGACCAAAACCTGCGTAACCCCTCCTGTTTAATTCTGAGCCACACCAATTTGCAGTTCAGAGATCGACCAATTCGGGATAGCAAGTCGTGAGGCCCAGCTGCTGCAGGCCGCAGATGCCGAGAGGCCGGGCGCCCACGAGGCGGTGATGCACCTCCAAAACAAAACCATCCGTGCAAATTATCAAGACCTCACCGATCCGGAACGAGCGAAGGAGCCTATGAAGCTTTCTTTTTGGAGGTCTGATGGGTTGAGTCTTCATGTTTGATTCAGGGAAGCAAGCGCTATACAGAGGGATTCTGCAACTCATCTGTGGATGATTCTTTCTTTGTTTATTTTTAGGCAAACCATGCACTGCTTAAAGCTTTCTAGAGATGGTCATCAGATGTTCTAGCTTCTAGCTTTCAATTGTGTCGCCTGCTTTTGCTGGTGTTTGATATGTCTGTCTCATGGAGCAACGCTGAAACTAGTTGCACTCTTCTGCCAGGCGGTTGGAAAAGCCCTCACTCCAATGGAGGGGGGGGAACATGCCCTAATTTGCCGGGTGTTTCGAAACAAATGATCCATCTCTGTTGCCTTGTTGTAGTGGTCCCCCATTTTGAACGACTCAATCATCATGGTGGTATCTGACGTGGGGATCCCTTTTTGGAATTAGTATGAAAGATGCAGATGTCAACGCTGCCTCCTCCAAACCACCAACCCAAATCAGCCTAAACCGACTTAAACCAACTAACTCAAACCATCAACCCACACCAACGCAAGCCACCAACCCAAGCCACCAACCAAAGCCACCATGAGCCGCATGAGTCCACACATTGTAAGACGCAATGGAAAGGCACCAAATCTTGGCCGCTGGCTTGTGCCCGCATGGGGCTCGAGCACTTGATGATGGCTGCATGCATTTGCATCGGTGAATTTTGAACAGTTTGGATATGAGTCAGCTTCAAAATTACCGTCATTTACTTTGTGTAGGAGTGTTTCATGCACATGTTGTTCTTGGTGTTTCTCGAAAAACGATACGGGACGTCCAAAAGCGATACCCCAAAACCTGAGAACAACACCTGACAAACGATACGGGACGTGCTACCATCAGAATGAATACACCCCAGACAGGAAATTTTGACGCGTCAAAATAGGGGACCTCAAAATTAGTGGTTTCTCCATTGGTTTCCCTTTAAACCTACCCGAAAAGGGCCGCCCTCAGAAAACACGCCCGCCTGGTTGACCTTGTTTCCCCTGCGTTTATGTTCATGACCAAGAGCCGTGAGCTTGCTTGTCAGCTCAGCAGTCCACCCGTGCTGCAGCAACGTGCAAAATCCAAGTGGGCCGTTTCCACCTTATTTGTCCAGTTGGTTCAACTTGGTGGATGAACGACCATTGGACGACTGTGAGCCAAGCTTGTACATTCCATCCCCTGCAGCCGTGTTTGCAAGACACAAAATGCAGGTGCCGAAAGAGAAAGTTCAAACCGTCGTGCCCGAAGTTTCACCTTTCCTTTCTCTGCATTTTTTGAAATGGCCGGGACTTGCCGCCCTGCCGCCAATCCTGAGATTGAAAGAGCTTGAGATGAACTTGCATTGTGAGATTCCAATAGACCATCAGAGTCACATCGCATGTTTGCTTGGAGGCGAAAGCTAAGAAGCAGAATCCTTGCCCCCGAACTGCGCGGGCTCACAAGCCTCTGGCACCTTCCATGGCCAGCGGAGATGCGGCGGCCCCGCGGAAGGTCAATGCGCAGGCGGTGATTCTGAGGAAGACGCCCTCGGGGCTTCTCGGGCCAAGGGGTCCCAGTCGCGGAGTTTACGTCCTTTGGGGGTCAAAGTTGTTCGAAGGCTTTGATCACGGGTGCCCGTTCGTCCCCAGGGCTGGAGCTAAGCCAGTGACAGGGTGAACTCCACGAGGGACTTTGGGTTGGAACTTAGTTGGGTTACTTGGAACTTGACCGAACACCTCATGTTCCCAAGGGTTATTTCTGTCGAGCCAAAACGCAATCAGGCCAATCAATGGTGATTCTGGTTCCCGCCCAAGCATTTTGCCATGCGCGGGGAACTGTTAAACTAGATATTATGAAGTGGCCATATTCGATCACTCCAATCTGATTCAGATGGGGAAACTAATCAGCTTTAGGCTATTTTAGGAATCTCGACGGACACCGAGCGGACGGTTTTAGGTATGACGTGCTGCTGCAGCTGCGGTCCATGTCCATGAAGGCCATGCCAGGTGCCAAAACCCGGGCGGCGGGCGACGGAAAGGGACACGGGAATACATTTACCCTTTTACCACTCGGTTTTTAAATGTCAGAAGGCAAAGGGGAAAATCCTCTGCTTGTTTTGCCGTGTAGCTACCATAGCATCAACTGGAAGCAATTTGCAGGTCAGGGTTCTGTTTCCCCCAGCCCGAAACAAAAAAAGGGCGTCGCCATCCTATGAGCAAACTGCAAAATGCCTCCCAAAAGCGGACACGGCTCCTCCTTTGGTTTTTCCTTTGTGGTCCTTACATGCCATTCTTGGTTGGTGAAGAATGTCTTTGGGGCCGATGCTGACGACGCTCCTGAAGTCTTTTTGTAGGAACGTCTCCTCGCTGGTCGGCCCTATAACCACCAGCCCAAAAGGGGTGCCAAATTCAGGGCACTGCCTAACAACAACCATCAAATGTTTTGTTCACACCGAGTTAAAGTGTTCAAGCTTGTGTTTGCTCTTAATCTTCTATGTGTTATTTCTTGTTGCTGGTTGTACATCTACAAGAAAGAAACCGTCGACTGCTTTGATCTTATTTTACTTTTGACTGCGCTCATGAAACCAAGCTTAGAACGAGGCCTTCTTGCCATGTAGCCCCTTAAAAGGGCTCTGTGACCAAAAGACCGTTGTTATGACTGTGTTGTGATTCGTATGCTGCGTTACCCTTTTCTTAGGGTCAAGCAGGGTTCTTGGCATTCCCCTTGGTTTGAGACTTTGTCAAAAAAGAGCTCCAAGAATGGCAAGGACAACAATGCAATGCAAGAAGTACTAGAAATGCAAGCAACTTGGACAGTTCGCTACGCTTTTTGAACACACACACACACACATGTGTGTGTGTGTGTGTCAATAGTTTTCGTTTTGTTCGACACGTAAACATCATGCAGAGAGTTGTCATGCGTGACAATGTTGGTGTAGTTTACACGTGAACACATGCATGCTTTTGGCTGAATTCATCTTGAATGACTAAAGCCATGCTTTGTTTGGCATACCAATCCCAAGCGGAAACCTAGACGTTTGGGGCATGCATTTTTTGTCCAACAAGGTAGACGACCATCCGGTCAGCACTCAACTCTAAGAGGGTTTCCAACACTCCAAAAGGAACCAAGCAAGACAACGCTTCTTTACCCTTCATACAAAGTCATATATTGTATACCCCATTTCTCCGACATTTGATTCCCTAAATGTTGCAAGTGGACCAATCAACATTCAGCCGCAATTCAGCCCCAACAAATCCTGGCTCCTTTGCGGCTCCCCCGGTCACCATGCAATGATTCGGACATCCACCGTACTTCACGTGCTATCACCAATCAAGCTCTTATACGGCCTTATCAGGGGTAGGAGTAAGCCCCGGGCACTTTTTTTGGTCCTCATTCAGGGTTTCATACGTAGATCCCCGCTCCCTAAATCCTCTTCGATGTTCATGAGCCCTGATATTCCAAAGCCCCGGCCAAACAGAACAGACCTCCCCCGACTTCCCCTTGGGGCCTTTGCGGTGGAAGGCCTGAAGGACTGAGACCGCAGACCATCATTGGGTCTGGTTTTCTTGAAGGCTACCCTGTTTGGCGTGGATTTTTCCGGGAGACCAAGAGGAAAATCATTATTTTGGAGGTTTTTGTCGGGAGACCAAGAGGAAAGGCATTACTTCGGGGGTCCAGCCAAAAAAAGGACACGCCCAATCAAAAAACCACCTGGTGCGAAGCGTAGGTCACCTGGCGGCCCTGGGGGGCTGCCGTGACTCCAGCGACGCAGACAGCCGAGAAACCGCGGTTCGGGAGGCGGTGGAGGAGTGTGGCCTGCGCCGCAGATGAGAATTAGCGAATCAGCGTGTGGGAGTGCCACGGTGGTTTTCCCGTCGTTGTTTTTCCCCTTAAGTCACCCCAAGAAGTAGCTTTCCTTTTGGTTTTGTTTTAACGCCGCAAACTTTTCTTTTTTTGAGGGTGCCGCTTGTTGGGGTGTGTTTAGGGGGAAATCAGAGCGATTCCCACCATTTTGGAGGGTCCCCTATTTGCACCCCTATCAGAACCACCATCAATTTCACTCCTCGAGTTCCTGGGCTTTGTGCGTTTTGGATTTGGACGGGTGGAGAAACAGAAGCTTGAGCTTGTTTTGACCAGTCTACCCAGGAATTGAGAAGTGCAGGCATTATTGTCCTATGATGATGGCTGACTGTAGTTTCAAAGTCCACTTACAATCCCGTTCTAGTTAAATCCACACGGAATGGTTCAGTTTTGGGTTATTTCATTTTGAGGATCAGCCAGTTTTCGTTGTTTGCCATTTTATTTCATTGGGGTTGTCAAGAGGGCCTCATTTTGACACCCCCCCCGGCTCCGCCCCCCCGCCCTTTTTATTGACACCGAAAACGTCCGTGGAAGAACAGCCGCAAGACCCCGCGCGCCCGTCGTTGAGGATCAAGAAGAGCATTGCGATGCAGCCCCTGAAGTTCGCGGAAGGGGAGAAGTGTGACTGGCAGCTGCAGCGGAATGGGTTGACCCTTTTCGGTCCATTTGTGGTCACCTGTCAATGCATTGTTTGGTCAAAAGGTCCCAACAAATGCTCTCCCTCAGCCCACAGCCCTTCACAGTCAGAAGGTCCCAAAGACTGAACATTTGCTTTCTGGGAGCTTGGGCCACGGAGGCGTCGAGCACGGACGGGTTCGGGGGAGTTCACAACCCCTCAAACCCCCGCTCCTCTTTTTCTATCTTTGGGGGCTTGCTTTAAAGAGAAACCGAAAGGAAACCAACCCCACCTTTGAGGGTCCGATAAGACACCAGTGATCTGTGAGGTCTTTAACCTGGAAGCCAAGGCGAACATGGAAAATGCCACCCTTAAAGAAGGGGACTTCGACTGAACGCGGTCCTGCCGGCTTCCATGTTAGTTGGGAGGTTGGTG